TTGATTCTTTTCGTGGGCTCTTTTTGTGGCGCCTACGACGAGTCACCAACGTCCAACCTTCATCATCATTATGTTGATCGACTTCATCTTTGTTGTTCTCCAGTAATTCTTCATCTTTACTTTCTTTAAAACCACATAAGTCATCCGGACTGAATGAGCCAAAGGTGATAGAGACTTGGTTTGCGCTTGCTTTCTCATCTTCAAGCATGATCTTCTTTTCACGAGCTAAGTCCATAACTTTGTCCTTGAAGACAAAGCACTTCTCTAGAGGGTGGCTCACAAGTCGATGGTATTTGCAGTAATTTGGGTCATTCGTTTTACCAGCTTCATTTGGTCGCTTTATCTCTGGAAGCTCAATGAGATTTAACTCAAGGAGTTCTTCAAAAATTGCTGGCACATCAGAATCCAGAAATAGGTACTCCTTCTCTTGCATTTCTTTTAGAGTCAACTTCCTATTTGGTTTATCTTGAAAAGAAGTAGATTCCGTACTCTGCTTCTTGCTCACCTTCATCGTGAACTTTACAGGTGATGTGTTGACATTCATAGCTTCTTTGCTTTCAGGCTTGGGTACGAACTTGCCACACTTCCTGACTTCTTGCTTATCGTTCCCCTTGCGATGTTCATAAATGGGCAGCCTTTCATTTCCAGTAGAGGCCATTCTCAATTCCAAGTCATGGGAACGAGTTGCAAGTTCTTCAAATGTGCTAGGCTTGATACTTTGTAAGATACCTTGTAAGATGTAGCACAATCCCCAATGAATGCCTTGGATGCACATCTCTATGCCTGAAGCTTCACTAAGCCTGTCTTTTCAGTTGAGGCTTGCATTCCTTCAACGATTGATAAAGTCGATAATTGGTTTACCGTTTCGTTGACGAGTATTTGTAAGTTCTATCATACTCACAGTACGTCTCGTGCTATAAAAGCGATTGAGTAATTCTTGCTCTAGTTGATCCCAGCTATCAATAGATCCAGCCTCGAGGTCCGTATACAATCAAAAGCATTTCCTTTTAATGAGCGGACATACTACTTGACGAGGTAATCTCCATAAGTCCCAGCATTGTTGCATGTCTCAACGAAGTGCGCCATATGTTGCTTTGGATTTCCTTTGCCATCAAACTGTTAAAATTTTGGAGGTTGATAGCCAGCATACATCGTCAACATATCGATCCTTGAAGTGTACGGCTTTGCGTAGGTAAAGGAGGACATGGAAGCGACTTCATATTTCTTTTTTATAGTCCCTTCAATGAACTCCTTTAGTTGATTGATTGGAATCATCCCTTCCAAAGAGACTGGAATTTCCTTAGTGGATGCAACTTGTCGTGGGGGAGGATCAATTTCTTGAACTTCTGGGAGTTTGCCAGGTGTATGTGTGGATTCTTCTTCCATCAAGATTCCCACCCTATCTGTTTGCTTGTCGATTCTAGCATCTTGATTTTGCATGCACTTGGTCAAGCCAGCGATTGCTTCCGTCAAGTTTGCCAGTTGCTCCTCCACAGATGAAGTATTTGTCACCATGGCTTGCATGATTGTCGTGGACGATGGAGAGTAGCATGGATTTTCACACAGATTGATCCTTGATTGGCTCACGCTATGTGGTGTAAGTTGGGAGGATCCATCACTTGAAGCATCATCATCTTCCTTTACAGCAGAGTGCTTGGATCCGGAGAGGTCAAGCAGAGCAAGAGTTTTCTTGATCTTTTCAGCAACATCGCTTTTTCCTTCGGGTGCGTTTGGGAAAGATCTTGATTCTTTTGAGGATGAACATCCAAAAACAGGGGTTAATACGGACGACACTTGGGGTGCTTGTTGTCCTAACGAGCTTGCTTTGCTCCACGTAACTGGTCCAAAGCTTCCAAAAGTAATATCGAGGATGCTTTCCACATCAACATAGAACTTGGAATTAGCAGCCTTAGTGAAAGTTGAACTGAAGTTGATTTTCTTTGAAGCCATTTCAATGTTCTTGAACTTTGGTTATTAAAAAGTTGAGATGAGAGGTAGAGATTGTCCCACTGGGTATGCCAGAATTTGTAGACAATAAATTTGCGTCAAGAAAAATAATCGAGACTGAAATATATTGCAACAATCGTAGTATTTGATTTCAAATATTTGAGTATACAATCTCTATGAATCCTCTGATTCATATTTTCAATAATAAATAAATTCAAGGGTTTTTGAGCTTGATCTTTAATCTATATTTGTTTTCACGAACGATGATCTTGTTCTTGAGCTTGATTGCTTGAACTTGACCTTGATTTGTTCTTCGTTCTTAAGATTGAACTTGATTTCTTGAACTTGAACTTGATTGCTTGAAGCTTGAAACTTGTAGAGAAATTTGCGGCGTTTGATCCACGAGCTCTCTCTTGCTTCTTGTTATAACTTCGGGTCCCTTTTATGGGTTATGAAGACCCCAATTTATAGTTGTGGGAGGGAAGAATTATGATAAGAACAAACTCTTTTCGACCAATCAGATTGAAGAGTAACAATGCCGTATTTGATTGGCCAGAACATGTCACTTGCATACATGGCGCGATTTTATTGGCCTTTTAATTTGACTTGGCATGCCTTATTATTTTGACACGTGGCACAATCCTATTGGCTCTTCCATTTGACTTGGCGCGCCACGTCATTTGACACGTGACACCAAACTGAGCCTCTAGAAAAATTACATCTTGGGCTTAATGAAGTGGGCTCATCACTTTAGCTCAATTAAATGGGCTAGCCCAATAGATTAAGACTTATTTATTTAATCCATATATGTTGGACTTATATAACTAATCCAATTATATTAGCCCAATAAATTTATTTGGACTAATATATTTAAAACATAGTCCGCATTATTTTATCGATTTAAATTCGATAAAATTTAAATGCTTACACAAGTATTATAAAAACAGAAATGATCATGAAAACTTGTGGTAGAATTGTAAAAATTCTTCATTCTTAATCAAAGATCTCGAGTTCAAAATTATACGTATGAAATTGCCTTAGTTAGGTAGCGCTCACCCCTCTCGATTATAGTGAAACTTTTTTTTTGTTTCATTGGGTTCATGCACAGTGGCGGACCCAGAATTTTGCATAAGCGGGTTCAATTTAAAATGACATAAATCGATAGTATAAGTGGCATCGAACATGGCGAACAAAATTTTGTCGAATTTTTATTAATTCTTTTCCTTTTTGGTCTCCTTTGTTTATAGCGTGATGTTAAAATTAAGTCATTTAAAAGTGAGTGCACTATATTTTACAAATTTTGGCATTTTAATAGTACAAAAACTATTTCCTCCTAATTATTTGAATAATTTTTTTTTTTTTAACCAAACACTCTTATCTATTAAACAAGAAAATTATTTAACCAATAAAAGTTTTATTAACCGCAAGACAGATTATTAAATCCTTTTGTGTTTATAACTAAGACGGTATTATCTACAAATAGAGCATAATAAAAAATAATTACAATCTAAACTAAATTAATGCCAATAATTAAAGAAAGAGGGCTTATACACTAAACCAGAAATTATAAAACAAATAAAAAATTTCAACATAAACTAACAAATTATAAATAATTTCATTAAATATACTTGGATTATTTAGCAAAATTTATGAAATAGAGAATTAAAGATCACTTAGTAGAAAAAGCTATAGATGCACGCTAAAATTGGGGCTGCATGTCCAACTTTAGGATGATGACATACCTGTACAGTTTATTCAGATAAATAGAAAGCTCATTTATCCAAAAAAAAAAAAAAAAAAGAAGATCACTT